CAATCGATAGGTATCAACGAGACCAATACATTTTAGTTAAAATTTTTTATCTAGCATGAAAATTGTGGGCGTCACAGGTTTTCGCGGTTTGTGGGCGTTAACGTGGGCGTGGCAAACTTTTTTTTGGGTCAATCGATAGGTATTGATGAGAACAATACATTTCAGTTAAAATTTTTATTCTAGCATCAAAACTGTAGGAGCCACAGTTTTGGGCGGTTTGTGGGCGTTAGAGTGGGCGTGGCACTGTGCCGAAACAAACTTGCGCTGCGTAAGAAGCTCAGGAATCTGCACGCCAAATCTCAATAGCCTAGCTCCCATAGTTTCCGAGATCTCAGCGTTCATCCGGACGGACAGACAGACGGACAGACGGACAGACGGACAGACGGACAGACGGACATGGCTAGATCGACTCGGCTAGTGATCCTGATCAAGAATATATATACTTTGTGGGGTCGGAAACGCTTCCTTCTGCCTGTTACATACTTTCCGACGAATCTAGTATACCCTTTTACTCTACGAGTAACGGGTATAAAAATGAAAATGAAAAACAGGGGAGTCGGCGAAGGAAAACGCAACAAAAGTCCCGGAAAATTGAGTACCAGCAGCATAAAGGAAAACGATTAAGTGAAAATTGCCATTGCAGAGGGTCAAAGTGGAGTGGGTTAGCAGAAAGAGAGAGCGTGGAAAATAAAACGATAATTGAAGAATGGGTAAGGAGAGTAAGCGGAGAAAATGCAATTAAAAGTAGAAGCAAATTTATAAGAATTTTCCCGTACTTTTTAATAAACTTTAAATCATGTTAAAGGCTCTATTACAAAGTAATGGGGTTGTGTAAAACTTATAACATGATTATAAATAGGTAAAGGTATTTATTATTTTCAAACATACTTATTATCTCGGAAAACCTTTGAAAATTGTTCGATTATAATGGAAACTATCTAACAGTACCCAAACATTTATACTATCTCAGTAATTAATATGTTTAAAGGGATATCTTAAAACATTTTTTATATATTCTCGTAATATAATGGAAACGATCTGTAATAAACTGTCCGTAATAAACTCTAAATCATGTTAAAAGCTCTATTACAAAGTAAAGAGGTTATGTAAAACTTATAAAATGATTATAAATAGGGAAAGGTATTTATTATTCCAAACATATTTATTATCTCGGAAAACCTATAAAAATGGTTTGAATATGATGGAAACTATCTAACAGTAACCAAACATTTATATTATCTCAGTAATTAGTATGTTTAAAGGGATATCTTTAAACATTTTCCATATACTCAAATATAATTCTCTTCACCATATACTTTTTAATATAATGGAAATGGTCTGTAATAAACTCTCCGTAATTAACTTTATATCATGTTAAGAGCTCTATTTCAAATTGATGGGATTATGTAAAAGTTATAAGATGATTATGAATAGGAAAATGTATTTATTGTTTCCAAACATACTTATTATCTCGGAAAACCTTTGAAATTTGTTTGAATATTATGGGAACTATCTAACAGTACCCAAACATTTATATTATCTCAGTAATTAATATGATATAAGGGATATCTTAAAATATTTACCATATATTCCCATATTATAATGGAATTGATCTACCAATAGCTTAAACACTCCCTAAAATTCTCATTCCCACGATGGTAACCACAAGTGCTCTTAAAATTAGAATGTTAGAGACCCGATTATAATGCTAGATGCACTCCATTGGACAGTTAAGTGTAATCCCCATCCCACTCCTTATCCAAATCGCCCACTCAAGTGCATCCTCGAGGTTCAAGAGTGAAACCTTTACAATGTTGATTAATGAAAACCAAACTGCCTCATGTGGCATGTTAAAATGCCATTTCGTTTCGACTTTGAGCTGCGTAACGAATCGGGGCAAGATATGTATGTATATAACACATGTTCTCTTCGATTGATCGTATTTATAGAGTGGGGGAACCCCCTGACAATTCCCATGATTGATTGCAACTGGGAGGGAGCGCTTCTTTAACTGACCGCATGTGGAGTGCGATTGAAAAATCGCCTCAAATAAATTATAACTGTAATAAAGAGAAAACCGAAATGTACAAACTGCCCCGACGTAATGGTTTTTCAATTTCCCCCCCAAAAAAAAGAAAACCCCTCCCGGTTTTTCTTTAATTATTAGAATTTCACGCGTAGGAGCGGCCAAGAGCGATAAATTTCAGTTAACAGAAGACTGTAAACAAAGTCAGACAACCAAGTTGTTTCCTTGCCTCGCATCTGTTTCCTCTATCGTGGAAAAATTTATGCATTTTTCCAATGAAAACGAAAATTTTCTTATGTATGCATAATTTTTAGTTGTTTTCGCTGCTCTTTTGGTGCTTTTGGTTCCCAGCCATCAAAAGGACATGGTTGGTTAACTCGAATGTTCTGGTCAAGTCGGTAGTAATTAATTTTAGTGTGGGTAATTTGTGCTAAATCATTCCATGTTCATCTGACCTGTCTTCGCCTCTTCCTGTCAACGCAAAAAAAAACACCCACTTCCTCTGGGTAGTTTTATCGCAAAAATTTGCATTAAAGATATTTCTTTGAAGTCAAAGTTCTCCAACTCAAACCGTACACCTCATAACATAATAATAGCTATGCAAATTATAGATTGTGGGAAATATTACAATAATAACTTGAGATATTTATCGGATTTTCAACTACATACTTAAAGATACTTCTTCGGATCGAAATTTCAGATCATATAAAAAGTTATACTTAAATACTCAAAAATATTTGAGATTAGAGAATTTATAAAGTTTGGTCTTAAATTCTTTATACAATAAAATAAATATTTATTCATTCTGTTTTAATTAGATATATTTTTTTTAGACCTCCAAAATTTTCAACTACATATTTAAAGGTACTTCTTCGGATCGAAATTTTAGATCATATAAAAAGTTATACTTAAATACTCAAAAATATTTGAGATTAGAGAACTTATAAAGTTTGGTCTTAAATTCTTTATTCTATAAAGTAAATAATTATTCATCCCATTTTATTTTGATATATTTTTTTTAGACGTGACAAACTCTGGAAACTATAATACTACAAAAAAATACCAAGTTATATATGGAGGTATTTTTTATAATATTTTGTAATGTTGGTATTTTTTTTTACTCTTTAACAATCTTTAGAACTAAAACCATAATTTTCCGCTTGTGTCCTGAGAAAAGCCATCAAAGCATGAACTGCCATTTCGCTGGAATTCCCCACACACACATGGGTGTGATCCATCATTGGGTCGCAGAATAAGAGAAATACCAAAAGGAAATCTTGGGAAAAACGAAAAAGCGTTGGCGATGTAATTAACGATAAGACAAAGTTCAAAGTTGCCTTCGAGCAACCCTAATAATTAAATTTATAGAAAAGAAACGACAAAAACGAAGAGGAGAAGAGAAAAATCGAATTCAGATAGGCATCAAGAAGAGCTTGTACATCCACACACATATATATACAGCTGATCAATCAGCGATCCCCCCCCCCCCCCCCCCTGGATTTTCCATCTTCCAACTCTATAAATATGAAAATCGTGACTTGAACGCTTAAAAAGCGCTTAAAACGTATTAAGCAAACACACATATGGAAAACTTGTCTGCCGCGGAGACAAAGAAAGAGGAATAATAATTGAAAAGTGAGTGGGGAACAAAGTGCGATAGCGGGGGACCCAAAGAGATAAATGTGCTGAGGAAATTGTCAGTCATAAGGTCAGCAGTGGATCCGAGGAAAACCCCTATCCCGAAATTCCTATCCCCCGAAATCTACCCAAATATCAAGTAATTACATGCGAGAGGAAAGAGTTTTTCTTTGACAGCTGTGAAATAAAAAAAAAAAGAACTGGAAAAGCCGAAGTCCAAGTCGAAGAAATATAGCCCTACGCACAGGCATTTTCAAGCATTTTCCTCTGCTTGGTTAGCTGTTTAAATATATACCCATGTACATACTCCTTTCTCGGATCTTTTGAGCGGAACATTTGGTCTCTGCGCCCTTTTGTCTATTTCTGAAGCAATTCGTGTTTGTTTTTATGTTTTGATAAATGCATTTCTCCAGCCGCCGCCCATTCACAGACTTTACATCAGCGAATCGCTGCGGAGGTCGTTCACTGCATTTCTTCTTCTGATTTTTCATCTGTCCCTGAATGGGAACTCTAATTGGGATATCAATACAAATCGGATTAATTTACCAATTCGATTTTGGGCAGAACGTATTTTTGAATTTCATGGTCTCGGCATTTGATAAATTTCTAACATAATATTACCGAAAATGTAACGAATCTAATTTATTCGCTGTGTCGATAACTACATTTCTTCATATAAATTTTAATTCGTTCTAAAGGAAGAACACAATTTTATTTCAGGGCTGTTGGTACACATACAATTTGAACAAGTTATACATGAAATTTTTCTCAATTAACTAGGTACTTTAGGGAAACTCCTGTGGTATTATATAAAAATATAGAAAGTTGGGATTAAGCGCTCATATTCTATGCCTTCCTGGGCTGCGCTAGCTGTTTAATCGAAAAGCCACGCCCACACTAATCGCAAAATTTGTCTGCTTGGCCACACTTATTTACACATTTTTTAAATGTGTGTATGATATTTCGTTCTGATTTTCAATACCCATTTACATACCAAAAACTGTTAAAATCGGGTTACCCATTTAAAAGTTATAAGCAAATAAAGAAATCGACGCTAGGTGGCGCTTTGTAGTTGCTTGGCTGCTTACATATCTCCATCTCCTTCGCACGCCCCTTAGATGAGTAACGGGAATCTTATAGTCGAGGCACTCGACTTTTGCTTTCTTTTTTGTTGTACTTTGTGTACTAAAATTTTTTTCAATTATTCTTTAGACTAAAGTCCAACAAGTAATCCAACTTAACTAATAAAATTATAACCCTCGATGGCAAATCTAATTTGATTAGTACACAAGGTATATATATAGACTACAACTTTTTTAGATTTGAACAGCGTTCAAAATGAAGTTTCTAAGTAAGTCAGTAAATAGCCTCTTTTTTTAAATCTTATTAAATTTCGCACAGGTCTTATATTATTGGCCACGTCAGCGACTGCTCGATTCACCGATGATTTGTACCAAGTTTTGGCCAAAAATAATGCCAACAAGAATCTTATATCCTCGCCTCTTTCCGTCGATATTGCCTTGAGTATGGTCTACATGGGAGCTGGGGGAAAGACAGCCCAAGAAATGAGGAGCGTCTTAAAATTGCCCGCGGATAAAAAGGAAGTGGCGCGTAAATACAAGGAATTTTTGACAAAGCTCGAAGGTCGCGAGAAGGTGGCCATCCTAGATCTGGCCAACCGTATATACGTGAACGATAACTTTACTATAGTTCCGGAGTTCAATCAGGTGGTCAAGGACTCCTTTAAGGCCGAAGCGGAGGCTATCAACGTAAAAGACTCTAAAAAAGCCGCTTCGATCGTCAATAAGTGGGTGAACGATCAGACGCGCAGCAGGATCAAATCCATTGTTTCGGATCAAGATATAGATTCGGATTTGAGAATGATTCTCTTAAATGCAATTTACTTCAAGGGTCAGTGGCAGCTCGCTTTCAACCGTAAACAGACCAAAGAGGTTGATTTCAGAACTGCTGATAAGCAAACCGTTCCTGTCCAGATGATGAGGGTATTTGGCTCATTTAGGGCTGGATATGTTAAGGAATTGGATGCCAAAGTGATCGAGCTTCCTTACCGGAACTCAAGCCTCTCCATGGTTATCTTTTTGCCGGAAAAAGTCGATGGTTTGCAAGAAATGGAGAGGAAGATCGCAGGCTTCTCCCCAAGTCTGAGTGTGCAAAAGGTGGTTTTGAAGCTACCAAAGTTCAAAGTCGAATTCTCCGCAGAGCTAGAAGATATTCTTTTGACGGTGGGTATGACCTGATTTGAGGGTGGTCACTTTTATAGTTTACACCTATAGATGGGCATTCAAGAAGCATTATCTGATGATGCGGACTTTGGAGGCCTGGTAAAATCTTCAAAAGCCAAGATCAGTAAAGTCATACAAAAGGCCTTCATTGAGGTTAACGAAGAGGGTGCCGAGGCAGCAGCTGTAACAGGTACTCATGGTTTGCTAAGTGGAATACTTTTTTTGCAACGTGCAATTTATTCCACAGGCCTAAAAATGGTAGTCCCTTTAAGCGTTAAACTCAATGAGCCACCTCCCTTGGAGATTAATGCTGACCATCCGTTTGCCTACGTCATTCGTGATAAGGACACCATTTACTTTCAGGGACACTTCGTAAGACCGGGAAAATAAAGTACCATTTCCTCTGGCACATTTGTGAATTAATTGTTAATAAATATGGGGATTAAACACAGTTCGTTTGGATTGACCACCCTATATTTCTTATCACAGCTTTATAACTTTTACTCCTACGGAAAAATGGTATATTGTGTTTACATACAAGTGGATACTAGGTACCCAATCTGCAAGTAGGTGGCTTATTTATTTTAAAATTGGATAACAGATTAATGGGTATCTGATAGTCGAGGCTGTTTGTATTCAATTTTTGCATTATATTTTTTTCTAACGGCATGGTTCTAATTTTCCAGAAAACAAAACAAGATAAGGTATTCTATACATGTACCGAGTCGATCTAGCTATGTCCGTCTGTTTGTCCGTCCGTATGAAGGCTTAGAGCTAAAAAGTTGGTAACAACCATGCAGATTCTATGGCTTCCTGCCCAACGGAAGTTTGTTTAATCGAAGTGCCACTTTTATTTTAATATTTTGTAAAAATGTAAATGGGATTTCGTGTGGACTATTAAGTCCATGTTAAAAATTATCCATTAAAAAGTTATAAAGAAATATTGGAATCGACGCTAGGTGGCGCAGTTGCATGGTGTGCAATATTGGGAACGGCCGCACTTCTCTTATCTGAGTAACGGGTATCTGATAGTCGAGACACTAGATTGCAGCGTTCTGTCTTGTTGTTTTTTGTGTACTTAGAAATAGTCTTACATTTTAAGAAAATATTAAATTCCATTAGGGATAATGATACTGTATTGTTTTTCAGTCCAAAAACGCGGCCATGAACTAAACAATATAATTTATTTATCACACCTTTGCCTATTTTTACTTATTCTATAGAATAAAGAGTACATTAAGTAATCGGACTTGAATAATTAAATTACAATCTTTGATGGCAAATCTAATTTGATTAGTACACAAGGTATATATATATAGACCGCAGCTTTTTTAGATTTCAACAGCGTTCAAAATGAAGTTTCTAAGTAAGTGAATAAAACAACCTCTTTTTAAAATCTTATTACATTTTCCACAGGTCTTATGTTATTGGCCACGTCAGTGACTGCCCGATTCACCGATGATTTGTACCAAGTTTTGGCCAAAGACAATGCCAACAAGAACCTTATTTCGTCGCCTCTCTCCGTCGATATTGCCTTGAGTATGGTCTATATGGGAGCTGGGGGAAAGACAGCCCAAGAAATGAGGGACGTCTTGAAATTGCCCGCGGATAAAAAGGATGTGGCGCGTAAATACAAGGAATTTTTGACAAATCTCGAAGGTCGCGAGAAGGTGGCCATCCTAGATCTGGCCAACCGTATATACGTGAACAATCGCTACTCTTTAATTCCTGAGTTTAATCAAGTGGCCAGAGACTCCTTTAAGGCCGAAGCTGAGGCTATCAACGTAAATGATCCCGATAAAGCCGCTTCGATCGTCAATAAGTGGGTGAACGATCAGACGCGCAGCAGGATCAAAACCATTGTTACGAAAGATGATATGTCTTCGGATATGGTAATGATTCTCTTAAATGCAATATACTTTAAAGGCCAGTGGCAGTACGAATTCGACCCTAAGCAAACTAGAAAGGATATTTTCAGAACTGCTGATAAAAAAAAGGTTCCTGTCCAGATGATGTTTCTGGATAATTCACTTAGGGCTGGATATGTTAAGGAATTGGATGCCAAAGTGATCGAGCTTCCTTACCGGAATTCAAGCCTATCCATGGTCATCTTTTTGCCGGAAAAGGTCGATGGTTTAAAAGAAATGGAGGGGAAGATCGCAGGCTTCTCCCCAAGACTGAGTATGCAGTCGGTTCTTTTGAGACTACCAAAGTTCAAAATCGAATTTTCCTCAGAACTAAAGGGTATTCTTGGGACGGTGGGTATGACCTGATTTGTGTGAGGACACTTTTATACTTTACCCCTTTAGGTGGGCATACGAGATGCATTTTCTAACAATGCGAATTTTGGAGGTCTGGTAAAATCGTCACGAGCAAAGATCAGCAAAGTCATACACAAGGCCTTCATTGAAGTTAACGAAGGGGGTGCCGAGGCAGCAGCTATAACAGGTACTCATGGTTTGCTAAGTAGAATACTTTTTTTTGCAACATACAATTTAATCCACAGCCATAAGAGTAACGGTCCCTTTAAGCGCTGTATACGGTCCCCCGACTGGCTTCATTTTTAATGCTGATCATCCGTTTGCCTACGTCATTCGTGATAAGGACACCATTTACTTTCAAGGACACTTCGTAGGACCAGAAAAATAAAGTACCATTTCACTGGCACAATTGTGAATCAGTTGTCAATAAATATAAATAAATAATATTAAACTCAGTTCGGGGTGATTGAGCATTCCATATTTCTTATCACAACTTTATAACTTTTACTCGTACAGAAATATAAGGTATACAAGGCGCATAAATTACACAGTGTTAATGCCCATAAGAGGGAAGTCGAAAGTAAACTTAAAATATTAATATTGTTTAGATAAATCTATTTTATTTCAGTTTCCAATACTAATTTATTTACTAGCATATAATAAAAGCCCAATTTAAACGTACAATATATGTATGTATATTGATTTAAAAATGATTCGTTTTTAATTTTAGAACGAAAGTTTCTAAAACCTAGTGTTTTCGGTCTCGAAAAGTTGTGCTTAAAAGCTGCATTTTGTTCTCGGGTTCTGTAATTTCCATGCTTGGCGAAGTTTTGACACCTAAAATGCTTGATTCAAACACGAAATACTTACTTTTTTTTTAGACCACAAACGCCCGTATCGTAAGATCTTTCTGCTTGGCGCCCAAATTTTTTTATATTTTGTAAAAGTGTAAATAGTAATTTCGTGTGGTCTGTCAAACCACTGCCAAAAATTGTTCAAGTCGTACCACCCATTAAAAAGTCATAAGCAAATAAAGGTTATAAAGTTATAAAACAATATTGGGAACAGTTGTAACCCTATCTCCATCTCGTTCGCATAAGTAATCCGACTAAACTAATTAAATTATACCCTAAATGGCAAATCTAATTTGTTTAGCACAAAAAGTATATAAAGACTGTATCATTTCTTAGTTTTGAACAGCGTTCAAAATGAAGTTTCTATGTAAGTAAACAAAAAATGTCTTTACAAATTTAACTTAATTTCGCACAGGTCTGATATTATTGGCCACATCAGTGACTGCTCGATTCACTGATGATTTCTACAAGCAATTGGCCAAAGATAATGCCAACAAAAATCTTATATCTTCACCTATTTCCGTCGATATTGCCTTGAGTATGGTCTACATGGGAGCTGGGGGAAGGACAGCCCAAGAAATGAGGGACGTCTTGAAATTGCCCGCGGATAAAAAGGAAGTGGCTAGTAAATTCAAGAAATTTCTAACAAATCTCGAAGGTCGCGAGAAGGTGGCCATCCTCGATATAGCCAACCGTATATACGTAAACGATCGCTACTCTATAGTCCCGAAATTTAATCAAGTGGTCAAAGACTCTTTTAAGGCCGAAGCGGAGGCTATCAGCGTAAATGATCCCGATAAAGCCGTTTCGATCATCAATAAGTGGGTGAACGATCAGACGCGCAGCAGGATCAAATTCATAGTTACTAACAAGGATATTAGTTCGAACATGATAATGGTTCTGTTAAATGCAATATACTTTAAAGGAGAGTGGCAGTACGAATTCGACCCTAAGCTGACCAAAAGGGCTGATTTCAAAACTGCTGATAAACAAACCGTTCCTGTCCAGATGATGAAGCTATTTGGCTCATTTAGGGCTGGATATGTTAAGGAATTGGATGCCAAAGTGATCTAGCTTCCTTACCGGAATTCAAGCCTCTCCATGGTCATCTTATTGCCGGAAAAAGTAGATGGCTTGCCAGAATTGGAGCAGAAAATCGCAGGCTTCTCCACAAGTCTTCCAAAGTTGAAGGTGAACTTAAAGCTTCCAATGTTTACGATTGAATTTTACTCGGAGCTAAAGGGTATTCTTGGGACGGTGGGTATGACCTGATTTGTATGGGCACACTTTTATATTTTACACCTATAGATGGGCATTCAAGATGCATTATCTGATAATGCGGACTTTGGAGGCCTGGTAAAATCTTCACGAGCCAAGATCAGTAAAGTCATACACAAGGCCTTCATTGAAGTTAACGAAAAGGGGGCTGAGGCAGCAGCTGTAACAGGTACTCTTGTTTTGCTTAGTATATTGCACTCTCTACAACCTACAATTTAATCCGCAGCTTCAATAGGGGCCTTTGTATTCAGCTTTACGCCTACCCCACCCTTGGAGTTCACAGCCGATCATCCGTTTGCCTACGTCATTCGTGATAAGGACACCATTTACTTTCAGGGACACTTCGTAAAACCATGAAAATAAAATACAATTTTCACTGGTACATTTGTAAATCTATTGTCAATAAATATGGGGATTAATCACAGTTCGGTTTGATTGAGCATCCAGAATTTCTTATAACTTTTACTCATATGGAAAAGGGTATATTGTATTCGTTTAAAAGTAGGTACATATATGTAGGTACCCAATCTGCACATAGGTGGCGCCAGGGCAATTCCATTGGCGTATTTATTTTTAATTTGCTCAACGGAATATTGGGTATCTGATAGTCGAGGTGCTTGAGTATATCTTCTTGTTTGTATGCCTTTTTTGTATTATATTTTTATCGAACTGGTGCCAATTTTGCTGAAAACAAAACAACATAAGGTCTGTTGTACATATAAGGGAAAGCCAGCAAACAACAAAGTACCTTTCTTTAATTGTTATACAAGTATAATACTTTCTATTGGCCCTAGAATTTATTTTCACTAATCAATAAACCTGCAAAACTCATGGCACACAGTTTATATTTAGAACTATCCACTTGAATGGGCAAACTGTTGAGTGACTTGGGAACACACCTTAGTCAGAACTACCACTCAGAACTGAAAGAGAGAACAGAATGGCAGAGCGTTCTCTCTTGATTTTCGCCAGCTTTGCTCTTATTCGACTTTATGCCATCCTGTTGCCATGTGCCCGGGTAGCTCAGTCGGTAGAGCATTGGACTTTTAATCCAAGGGTCCAGGGTTCAAGTCCCTGCTCGGGCGATCCAACTTTTTTCTTTTTTTTTAATTTATCTAAATTAAAATATTTTTGATAAATATTTTTCATTCATCGGGAGCGCGTGGGAAAGAGCCGGAGGCTGTGATTCATTCATAAAACTGCATGTGCAACAACATAATTAGGGGCGGGAAAGGGGCCGATTGGTTGGTTAGTTTTGGTTTTAAAGGGGAGCTTCGATAAGTCGAACCATTATTATAAGAAATATCCAATGCTAGAGCTGGTGAGACTTATACTTTCTATTGATTGCTCTTTAAACTTAATGATAAACAATACAAATATTGGAAAACTAGTCTGTATAATCTTTTTCCCTCTGCCACATAGTACGACTTACAGAAGTAACACTGTAGTTTGGTTTGGATACCGCGTTACTGGAGCTTATGCAGCCCAGTAGAGCACACAAGCAACGCCCGCCGGGGCAATTTGTCTGGGTCGAAACTCTGGAATCCTCCTCCTTCTGACAGAAGCGCAGTGTCTGCGCCAATTCCTGACCGATGACTGCGTAACGCCCCCAAAAAAAAACTAAAAATGAAAAAACACAGTAGATATATATGGAAAAAAGAAAGAGTCAAGAGGTGACCAGAGAAAGAGCTGCCTGGGAAACTGTAATGGAAACCGGAAATGGGGTGGATGCCAAACAGATTGAATCATTGGCCATGCCTACATGTGTTCCTATGCTGCTATGCATTCAGGAAAAAAAAACAGAAAGAGTCGCTGGCTGCATTTCATATCGGGATCTTTTACACGACAGATTCAAGGGAATTTTGATTTGGCGAAATTGCACTGGAAGCGGAAATTAGTCGAGTCAAAAGCGGCGAATGGCAAGAGTCATTTATCATTTTGGACATTCTGCAGGAAGTGTGTGAATATTTATTTTGCGTGCCAGCCTGGACAATTGCCGGGATGATTTTACAGTTATGCATTTAATAACAATGGTATAAACAGTGGAATTTATAAATATTTAATATTATATTATATTATTATAATAAATACAGTTAATAGTTTTCCTTCATTGGCAAAATTGCAGCCAAGCCATTGAACATGATTTATGCCTAAAGTCGTAAATGTTCATTTAGTTGAAGAAGTAATTTTGAAAATTTATAGTAATTACATTTTTTCCCACCAGTTGTAACATCTTCTTTAGCTGTCCGAGTTCATTTTTTGTTCCATAGTACTTTGGCAACGGCCTTTGTGTGGGCCAAAAAAAAAAACGAAGAAAGTAAGTCTCGCACGCAGCTTAAACAGAACCGAAACGACAACCCACATTGAGTTATGAAGCTAACCCCCTATCCCCCCACTTTTTCGATCCACCGCCCCTATTTCGCCGCCAAAAGGCCATAAAGTACAAAACAGCTAACAACTTATGGGGATCGCTGCTGCTGCGGCTGCTGAAGAAGAAAAATATGTGTTTTTTATGATGACTCACGAGGCGAGCGGTCCGCGATAAGATCAATCATCAACCACAAGGGGGGAAAGCGGGAAGCTACGGCCTCTCAACGATCTGGAACTCGAAGACGGGGACCCGGGCCCCGAGTTTGCGGTCTGCGTCTCTGACCATTCAGACCATCTTTCATGATAACACTATTGAATACGAAAGTAGACAAGTTTTTGGAATCGCTTTCAGATACAGTGCGTTTCGAAACAAAACGGGACTTGATTTTGAGATAGGTATATTTAAAGGTATGATATATATGATACGATATGATATGATATATGGTATAATATATGATATTATATATGGTAAACGGTATTATATGATAAAATGTATGATAATAGTATGATATAGTGTTACTTTTTCTTCAAGTCAACTAGATATTTTAGTTGCTAAGCGAATAATAAAAAATTTTATTTAGGAACTCTATCGATTTTTTTTAAGTTTTAGATATTTTGGAAACTTTTTTTATTATTATTTTGAGAACTTAGATTTGATAGTAATGATATGCTAATTTCTTATTGATTTAGTAAAAAAAAGTTTTTGTTTTTACTTTTTTATTAATTTATCTAGTTTGTTATTTATACTACCGAACCGCACTGTCCCACACATGCTCACACATTTGGATGAAACCGGCTTTGATTTCTAATTATTGGGGATCGGTTTGTTTTTTCGGAGGTTTCAGTTTTTTTCGGGTATTTGATTTGATGGCTCGTGAGCTTTGAATTAACAGCGGAAATAGCTGAAGCGATAATGCCAATAAAATCGCTTAAGACTTTTAGTTTTTCCCCCGAAAGGCGTTTATTTTCGAACATAATTCCAATTAAACGATTGTTTATTGTCTCTTTCCGATAATAGGGCGTAAAAGGTGTTTAGGCTTAGTCTTGGGCCCGGGTTCACTTGCTGTGGGAGCGACTTGATTGGAACTGGGCTTAATTCTTACGGCCATCTTTAGGGCAGGGTCTCATCCACCGTCTGGATGTAATAACTCAATGTCAGCTCGTGGGCGAGGGAAAACAAAGGAAGATAGCAAGACAGGAGGACGAATGGGGATGAGATAGACCAGAACGGGGGATTCATTCAAGGCAGCATAATGAAGCATGAAAAGCTTAAGTTCCAACAGACAATGCGACGTCTGGAGTCCGGGCACAAAAGGTATGATAAAGATATATATATATATATATATTCCTAGGCTCTTCCTTCAGGGATTTACAACTCATTAGACGCTGCAAAACCTTAATTTGGCATTCAAGACACGAAGGATAGCACCAAAAACTCTTCCATTCATCGAATGAATCATCTTGTGGATCGAAATCCGTTAATAGGCAAATCATGTACGGAGCAGAGACCACCAATTGTCCAACAGGTTTTCCTTATAATTTTATTACTATCATGCTCGTTTCGAGTTCCAGTTCGGATCCGAAGTTGGAGTGTGTTACCTTTTCGATTGTGATTCATAATTGTTACAAGTGCTTACGAAAAGGGCTTGGTCTCTGCACAAATGAAATGTATTGAGCATATGTGCATATGTAAATGGCTTCAAAAGTGCTTGTAATTAGTCAGCATAAGTCAGCTGTCATATGGAAGGGGGTATACAATTTGGGGTTTTTACTTCCAAGAATTTATAATGCCCCCTTAAAAGGTTTTTAATGCTTTAGTAAAATTTTAAGTAAAATCAAATATATCAAGTTACATTCAAGGTTAGAAAAACATAGTATACCAAAATGTTTCATTATTACATCAAGTTTTTATGATACATAAATTAAAAATCGTATTTTTCTGAACATTTCAATATGGAACCCCTCTATATACCCTGAACATCAAGGGGTATCAACCTTTAACAAGTAACTGTAATCAGGCTTAAACTTTTCAGTCATTTAGCCTGCGGTTGCAACTGCAACTGGCAACCGCAAGAGAAGTCAGGTTGTCTTCCAAGGTTCAGGAACAAAATCGAGGACAGCGTCATGCCATCCGCTCATTTTCGGATCTGAAAAGAGGGGCGACATATGTCAGAGTCAAGTTCCCCCCAATACCAACCACAAACCAAAAACGAAGACCGAGCTTATCAAAAACATTTTGGCTTTGGCGCCAATTTCGTGTTAAATAAAATGCAGCGCGAAGATTTATAAAGGCATAAAGACAACGATTGGAAACGGGACCACCCAACATATAAGAAATATTCAGCTTCGCTCGCTAATTTGTCAGCATTCGGAGGAGTAGGAGGTGGAGTAGCGATGCGGGTTTTGTAATTCTACGAAATCAGCTTTAAGCCATTCGACGGAGGCCTTCCAAAGGTGTCAATTCGTGAAGAATTTTAAAATGCATGCGATGAGTAATAATCCCCCAAGAGAGACACATTTTTCTTTCACCGAAGCGGCTTAAAAACGGGGAAAAATAAGAAAGAGGTGGCCGCAGCACAGAAAAGTGATAAATTTAAATGTCTAATTGGGTATGCCTCACAATTGTGGGAGATTGATCAGCAGCTCTAGGCTGGGCTCCACACTTTAAGTCGGGGGAGTCGTAAAAAATGTAAAAACTCCCCGAAAAGTCGTAAAAAAATGGTTTTCGCAGCGAAGATGCGTTTATTTTCTGAGTGGCTACTGGATAGGATTAGTCCTCGAACACACACTCACAGGCAAACATCAATAATGGGGAAAGCATTTACAGCACATTTACGAGCCGAGGTGGCAAGGAACTCGAACCCAAGCAGATGGCACCGCCATTAGTCGCAGGGCAGTGGGCATTGACTCGGAAATAGATGTGGGGAAAGGGTATGCACATAATATATTTATCTTTCGGAGCTATAAATACCTTAAGGTATAGGTAGCAAGAGAAATTATCTCGGAGTTCGGTTGGAAAGGGGTTGAAGGAAATAGTATAGGGTTATTTTTCTATCCGTATATGTTTTCTAATATAC